AACAACGCCTTTATCCACTGTGCACGTGGAACTATAACGGTCTACCCCAGTGATCGACATAAAAGGTTAAGTTCGACATTCCAACTACCTGAAGAAGGCCGGAGCGTACAACAGCCGAAACGTTGTAATAAATATGCCGACAAAGATGAGGACAATAATGTAAATAATGATTGGAAGTTGTAACGTGTATGTATCTTTTTTTTCGGTAAATTAAGATGGGCTACATTAAATATACAAGTCCAGAGCGAAACATACCGCGTACACGGGGTAGACTCATAAAGGTAGCTCCTTTTCAAGACCTGATATCCGTAGATATTACTTCCCTGATCAAAACAATCTTAAAATCTTCATGTCTCGAGTCAGCAGTTATATATCATCCCCATCCTCATATTAATCCCTGCTTACTTCCCCCGTTTTATTCTCTTACAACAATCTAATTCAGTAACCCTCTACATTAAGTAGCTTTTGGGCCTTGTTTAGCATTGGCGGTCACAATCTTAACAACATAAGATAGGCAGATGACACAGTAGTGATAGCAGACACGGAAGAGAAACTACAAAACCTCCCACAGAAGGTAGCGAAGGAGAGCGAGAAGAAGGGACTAAGTATACACTACAGGAAGACAGAATCAATGGTGATCAGTAACAGAAAGACCTCAAAATACGACTTGCAGGTCGGGGACACTAGAATCAAGCAGACGCGGAAGTTTAAATATCTGGGAAGCGTCCTAAGCGATGTCAGTAAGTGCGACGCTGAGATCCGTAGACGTATTGGGATGGCCAAGGACACAGTCCAAGAGCTGGGCAGAGTATTGCGAGACAAGAGGATTTCTTTTGCAACAAAGAAAAGAATACTGAAATGTTACGTGAAATCTGTTCTTCTTTACGGCAGCGAATGTTGAACGATTTCCTCAAAGATGAAGAAGAGATTCGAGTAGACAGAGATGTGGTTCTTCAGACGGATGATGAGGATATCATGGACCGAGCGTGTGACCAAGAGAGGTTGCAAACAAGGAAGAGGCTTATACTTAACATCAGGAAGAGGCAGCTGAAGTTCCTGGGACACAAAATGAGGAAGGAGGGCCTGGAGAATCTGATACTCACGGGTCGATTAAAGGGAAATAGAGACAAGGGAAAACAACGCATGACATACCTAGCGGCTTTAAGCAAGTGGATGACTGAACGTGCTCTTGACGACAAGTGGCAGAGGAAATGAATTTGTTGAGAGATGCAAGGGATAGAGAGGGTGTAGAGAGCCATGATCGCCTAAGTCCTGAAACGACATGACACATAAAAAGAAAGAAAAGATACTCTTAGGCAGATCATTATACAGTTGTCATCAGCATAGATATTCACAAGATGAAGAAGAGACTCGAGACGACAGAGATGTGGTTCTACAGAGTGATGCTAAGGATATCATAGACCGAGCGTGTGAGAAACGCTGAGGGCTTAGAGATGATGCAAACAAGGAGGAGGCTTATACTTAACATCAGGAACAGGCCGCTGAAATTCCTGGGACGCGTAATGAGTAAGGAGGGCCTGGAGAATTTGATACTCACGGGTCGAGTAGCGGGAAAGCGAGACAAGGGAAAGCAGCTCGTGACATACCTGATGAGCTTAAACAGGTGGATGACAGAACATGGTCTGGGGAAGGAGGCAGAGGGAAGGAACTTGCTGAGATCCGCAAGGGATAGAGGGAGGTGGAGAGCCATGATCGCCTACGTCCTGAAAGGACATGGCACATAAAAAGAAAAGAAAAAAGAACAAATAGAAATATAAAAAAGAGAAAGAAAATGATAATAAGGACGAAGGCAGAAGAGAAAATGATGAAAGAAGAAGAAGAAGAAGAAGAAGAAGAAGAAGAGGAAAAAGAAGAAGAAGAAGAAGAAGAAGAAGAAGAAGAAGAAGAAGAAGAAGAAGAAGAAGAAGAAGAAGAATATAATAAAGGTGAGAGAAAAGAAGAAAGTAAAAAGAAGAACCATATGAGGAAGGAAGGTCTGGAGAATCTGATACTCACGAATCGAACCTGTACTTCTATACGGAAACCGTCATTTGACATGACGTGCTGCACCATTCATCTACAGAGAATCGTCTGGTTAGCAAAGTCCCAATTGTTGTTTATAAAACTTTCGATGATTTTTTTCTCGATCGATCATTTCTGCTCACGAAACGTAGCTTAACGTAAACAATGACAACATATAATGGCAATTATTTAATATAGTTTCTGTTTATTCGTTATTTTTAGTAAATTCTCTGTTTTTAATTAAATTAAGTCTAAGATTTGGTTTCAGATTCCTTGCTGTATTATTTTGATTCTCTTTCACTCGCAGTAACCCCTTGCATCTCAGTGGCGTTATTGTCTTGCTCATTAGAACTATTGCCATGAAAATATTTAGCGAACCGATGCAGGGAAGCTACAATATGACGGTAGGATAGTAAACGTCTAGGGCAAGATAGATTGGCGGAGCACATTCGTCTTCAGGTTGGTTTTGAATTCAGTGTTTTCCTTATCTTAGACTGGTTGCTACCTCCAGGCAATCAACCCCGATAATAATCTAGATTTCACGCAAGTAGATTTGTTATCCTCGAACCCATATAATCATGGGTTTAAAGTGTCAAATTTAGCTTAACTACCCTGTTATTTAACCCATAGCTATGGGGAGAAGAAATATAAATATTCGACTTCAACAGTGTTTGTGAAAAAGTGAATGCAACAGTCTCGGTTAAAAATCGAACACGGCACACCAAAAGCATTCCACCACGTCGTTTTTTTTAGCCGCTCCCTTTGTTTCTCTCATTTCTCTTTACCACTCTCTCTTTATTTTTACCTCTCCTTTTCTTTCTCCTTTACTCTCCTGTTTCTATCTCTGCTTATTTTACCCTCTCTTTTTTCTTCTCCCTTCCCTCTCTCTTTACGCTTCTTTCTTTATTTACCTCTTCATTCTCTTCCGTCTCATTCTAGTTTTGTCCTTCCATTTTATTCTCAATTCTCTCTCTTTACAACTCTCTTTTTCTTTCGCCTTTACTCTCCTGTCTCTATATCTCCTTATTTTGCCCTCTCATTTTACTTCTCTCTTAATTCACTTTACCCTCTATTTCTCTTCCTTTACCCCCCACTATACCTTCCTTTACGTAGCAAGAAAACTGCCCGTAAATAATTATTCAAAAAATAATTATTCGAAAAACATTTATTCAAATTGTAAATTGTTTGAATGAAAATTAATCGAAAAAAAATTGTACTAAATGATATTTATTCGAAATAGTTATATTTGAAATAGGTATGTATCCTTGCTTTGATAGAGTCAATGCTGATTTACCTCGAATTAATATCGCCCTTGAAGGATGGATTAGGGCTTTTTTTACAGCGTGTAATTCTATCATTCCACAATATAGAAATTCTTCGACGCTCTTAAAAGAGAACAAGACTTGCAAGAAATTCATATTGCAATACTAAGAGCAGGTTGTCAAAATATCAAGAGCGCCAAGAAATACGGCGACGTTAATAGAAAACTTAAAAATTAATCTTTTAAAGAGTACTCATCAGTAGTTGACTATTTGTGTTCAGTGTCATATAACTTAAGGTTATAAGGATTATTAAATTGTTTTATTAACGATATTTGTATTTCGAATAATTAAACATCATTTGTGTATTTTTTTTTTGGATATTGACATTTCTTTTTAAAATTTTGCATTTCAAATAATTATCATTTAGTATAATTTTCCTTTCGATAAATTTTCATTCAAACAATTAACAATTCGTGAGTATCAGATTCTCCAGGCCGTCTTTCCTCATTATGTGTCCCAGAAACTTAAGCTGCTTCTTACTGATATTAAGTATAAGCCCCTTGTTTGCAACTTCTCTAAGATCCCATCGTTGCTTACACCCTTAGCATCCTTCTGTAAAACCATTCTCCGTCGCCTCGAGTCTCCTGTTCATCTTTAAGGAAATCGTCCAGCATTCGCTGCCGTAAAGAATGACAAATGTCACGTAACAGTTCAGTATTCTTTCCTTTGTTACCAAAGATATCCTCCTGCCTCGCAATACTCTGCCCAGCTTTTCGAATGCGTCCTTGGCCATCTCAGTGCCGCATTTACCGTCCTCTGTCAGGACGTTTCCCAGATATTTAAACTTCCGCGAGTGTTCCCGATCTTCAAATTGCATTTCGGTCTCATCCTCTTACTGACGACCATTCACTCCGTCTTCTTGTAGTTCAAACAGTCATTTCAAATAATTATCATTTAGTATAATTGTCTTTTCGATTCATTTTCATTCAAAAAATTTACAATTCGAAAAAATGTTTTTCGAGCAATTATTTTCAAACAATTTCGAAATTTAATTCTCCTTTAACCTCTTGTTTCCATCTCTCTTGCTATTACTTTTTTACTCACTTCATTCTCCTTAACCTCTCTCTATGTTTCTTTATCTCTCTCTTGCGCTCTCTCTCTTTCTCTCTCTCTCTTTTCCTTTACCTCTACTTTTGTTTCTTCTTTACCCTCCAGTTTCTATCTCTCTTTAGTTAACCCCTATCACTTTTCTTCTCACTTCATTTTTTTCCTTACCCACTCTCTATGTTTCTTTCTCTCTCTCTCTCTCTCTTTCTCTTTTCTCTCTCTTCTCCTTTTTTTCTTTCTTTTTTCTTCTCTACTTTTGTTTCTTCTTTACCCTCAGTTTCTTTCTATCTTTAGTTAAGCCTATCTTTTCTTCTCACTTCATTCTCCTTACCCTCTCTCTATGTTTCTTTATCTCTCTCTCTCTCTCTCTTCCTTTACCTCTACTTTTGTTTCTTCTTTACCCTCCAGTTTCTATCTCTCTTTAGTTAACCCTATCACTTTTCTTCTCACTTCATTCTCCTTACCCTCTCTCTATGTTTCTTTATCTCTCTCTCTCTCTCTCTCTCTTCCTTTACCTCTACTTTTGTTTCTTTCTTTACCCTCCAGTTTCTATCTCTTTAGTTAACCCTATCACTTTTCTTCTCACTTCATTCTCCTTACCCTCTCTCTATGTTTCTTTATCTCTCTCTCTCTCTCTCTCTCTTCCTTTACCTCTACTTTTGTTTCTTCTTTACCCTCCAGTTTCTATCTCTCTTTAGTTAACCCTATCACTTTTCTACTCACTTCATTCTCCTTACCCTCTCTCTATGTTTCTTTATCTCTCTCTCTCTCTCTCTCTTTTTGTTTCTTTACCCTCTATCTCTCTTTTGTTTCTTCTTTACCCTCCAGTTTCTATCTCTCTTTAGTTAACCCTATCACTTTTCTTCTCACTTCATTCTCCTTACCCTCTCTCTATGTTTCTTTATCTCTCTCTCTCTCTTCCTTTACCTCTACTTTTGTTTCTTCTTTACCCTCCAGTTTCTATCTCTCTTTAGTTAACCCTATCACTTTTCTTCTCACCTTCATTCTCCCTCTCTCTATGTTTTTTTATCTCTCTCTCTCTTCCTTTACCTCTACTTTTGTTTCTTCTTTTCCCTCCAGTTTCTATCTCTCTTTAGTTAACCCTATCACTCTTTTTCTTCTCACTTCATTCTCCTTACCCTCTCCCTATGTCTTCTCTCTCTCTCTCTTCCTTTACCTCTACTTTTGTTTCTTCTTTACCCTCCAGTTTCTATCTCTCTTTAGTTAACCCTATCACTTTTCTACTCACTTCATTCTCCTTACCCTCACTATATGTTTCTTTTTCTCTCTCTCTCTCTCTCTTCCTTTACCTCTACTCTTTTGTTTCTTCTTTACCCCCTCCAGTTTCTATCTTTTCTCTTTAGTTAACCCTATCACTTTTCTACTCACTTCATTCTCCTTACTTTTTGTTTCTTCTTTACCCTCTCTCTATGTTTCTTTATCATTCTCTCTCTCTCTCTCTCTCTCTTCCTTTACCTCTACTTTTGTTTCTTCTTTACCCTCCAGTTTCTATCTCTCTTTTAGTTAACCCTATCACTTTCTTCTCACTTCATTCTCCTTTTCTCTCCCTCTCTATGTTTCCTCTCTCTCTTTCTCTCTTCCTTTTCCTTTACCTCTACTCTTTTGTTTCTTCTTTATTCCCTCCAGGTTCTCTATGTTTTTTCTTTAGTTAACCCTATCACTTTTCTCTCTCTCTCTCTCTATGTTTATTTTTAGTTAACCCTATCACTTTTCTACTCACTTCATTCTCCTTACCCTTTTGTTTCTTCTCTCCAGTTTGTATCTCCTTTAGTTAACCCTATCCTTTTCTTTATCTCTCTCTCTCTCTTTATCTCTCTCTCTCCTTCTACTTTTTGTTTATTCTTTACCCTCCAGTTTCTATCTCTCTTTAGTTAACCCTATCACTTTTCTTCTCACTTCATTCTCCTTACCCTCTCTCTATGTTTCTTTATCTCTCTCTCTCTCTCTCTCTCTTCCTTTACCTCTACTTTTGTTTCTTCTTTACCCTCCAGTTTCTATCTCTCTTTAGTTAACCCTATCACTTTTCTTCTCACTTCATTCTCCTTACCCTCTCTCTATGTTTCTTTTCTCTCTATCTCTCTCTCTCTCTCTCTCCTCCTCTACTTTTGTTTCTTCTTTACCCTCCAGTTTCTATCTCTCTTTTAGTTAACCCTATCCTTTTCTTCTCACTTCATTCCTTCCTTCTACCCTCTCTCTATGTTTCTTTATCTCTCTCTCTCTCTCTCTCTCTCTCTTCCTTTTTTTTTTACCTCTACTTTTGTTTCTTCTTTACCCTCCAGTTTCTTCTTTTTCTATCTCTCTTTAGTTAACCCTATCACTTTTCTACTACTTCATTCTCCTTAACCTCTCTCTATGTTTCTTTCTCTCTCTCTCTCTCTTCCTTTACCTCTACTTTTGTTTCTTCTTTACCCTCCAGTTTCTATCTCTCTTTAGTTAACCCTATCACTTTTCTTCTCACTTCATTCTCCTTACCCTCTCTCTATGTTTCTTTATCTCTCTCTCTCTCTCTCTCTTCCTTTACCTCTACTTTTGTTTCTTCTTTACCCTCCAGTTTCTATCTCTCTTTAGTTAACCCTATCACTTTTCTTCTCACTTCATTCTCTTTTTACCTCCAGTTTGTTTCTTACTCCTCTCTATGTTTCCAGTTTTTATCTCTCTTTGTTAACCCTCTCACTTTTCTTCTCACTTCATTCTCCTTACCCTCTCTCTATGTTTCTTTATCTCTCTCTCTCTCTCTCTCTCTCTCTCTCTCTCTTCCTTTACCTCTACTTTTGTTTCTTCTTTACCCTCCAGTTTGTATCTCTCTTTAGTTAACCCTATCACTTTTCTTCTCTACTTTTGTTTCTTCTTTCATTTTCCTTATCTTCCCACCCTCTCTCTATGTTTCTTTATCTCTCTCTCTCTCTCTCTCTCTTCTTCCTTTACCTCTACTTTTCTTTTACCCCTTTTGTTTCTTCTTTACCTCCAGTTTCTATCTCTCTTTAGTTAACCCTATCCTTTTCTTACTCACTTCCTTCATTCTCCTTATGTTTCCCTCTCTCTATGTTCCTCTCTCTTTATCTCTTTCTCTCTCCATTCCTTTTATCTCTCAATTTGTTTTCTTATTTAACCTCCTATTTCTTTATTTTCTTTTTAGTTAACCCTAACAGTAATCTTCTCACTTCATTCTCCTTACCATTTTTCTAGGCTCTTTATATATATATATATATATATATATATATATATATATATATATATATATATATATATATATATCCCTTCATTTACCTATCAATTTGTTTTCTTATTATTTGGAGACCGGAACTACCTACACAATAGACTCTTCCAGATCTATATTAAGTATTCTGACCCTCTCTCTACAACCTCTAAACAGAGTGACACAGAGGGATAGAGAGAACTTCATGATAGCCTTTATGTTTCTTTACGACTACCAGTATTCTTTATTGGACACTAACATATAGTCTCTCTCTCTTCCTTTACTCTATCTCTGTAACCTGTTGTTAATATATCTTCTTACATCTAATCCGTGTTCCGTGTTTTACTTCTTTGGTCCCATCCTTTTCTTCTCTCTTCATTCTTTACCCCCCACATCACTTATTTAACCTCCTGTTTCTCCAGTTTTTTTCTTTAGTTAACCCTATCAATAATCTTCTCACTTCGTTCTCCTTACCATTTTTCTATGCTTTCATTTTTCCTTTATATATATATATATATATATATATATATATATATATATATATATATATATATATATATATATTTTACCCTTCAATTACCTATATATTTGTTTTCTTATTTAACCTCCTATTTCTCTTTTTCCTTTAGTTAAACCTATCAGTAATCTTTCACTTCATTCTCCTTTACCTTTTGTTTTTTTTTTCTCTACTTTCTTCTCACTTTTCTATATATATATATATATATATATATATATATATATATATATATATATATATATATACCCCTTCATTTACCTATCAATTTGTTTTCTTATTTAACCTACTGTTTCTATTTTTCTTTAGTTAACCTTATCAGTAACCTTCTCACTTCATTCTCCTTACCATTTTTTTCTATGCTCTTTTATATATATATATATATATATATATATATATATATATTTATATATATATCCTTCATTTACCTATAAATTTATTTTCTTATTTAACCCCTGTTTCTTTTTTCTTTACTTAACCTTAACAGTAATCTTCTCACTTCATTCCCCCTAACATTTTTCTAGGCTCCTTTATATATATATATATATATATATATATATATCACCCTTCATTTACCTTTCTATTTGTTTTGTTTTATTTAACCTCCTGTTTCTATTTTTTTCTTTAGTTAACCCTATCAGTAAACTTCTCTCTTCATTCTCCTTACCATTTTCTATGTCTTATATATATATATATATATATATATATATATATATATATATATACTTCCTTTGCCTCTAAATTTGTTTCTTTTTACTCCCCCTGTTTAATGTAACCTCTTATTCTGTTTACTCTCTCTTTCTCTGTTTATTCCTTTACCCGCTGTCTTTGTCATCATTTCCTTCTCCATTTATTTATCCTTTTTTCTTTTCTATGACCCACAGTCGTTTCTTCGGTTTACAACTAGAAAGATAGAATTTTGAAAATATTTCAAAATATACATAAAAAAAATCTCGCCAATAAGCTCGTAAAATAAAATTTAAAGAGAAAAACCAAAAAAAAAAAAAAAAAAGAAAAAATAGCGAAAGTTTCAAATTCTGAAATATTTGTACTGATTTATTGATTTCGATCCACTTTTGGCGATGTGCGCGTTTATTACCAGGTGATGTCGGGGAAGATGGCAAACCCAGGAAGGTATTTCAACGGAGCCTAATCTAATGAAGCATTCGCATATTTCATTGGGAAAATATAGCCTGGCGTATGATCAATTATCATAATGGCAGAGGCAGTAAAAGGCTTTGACTTACGATGTCTTCCGGCTGAGGAAGAAGATTTGAGGAATCGTTGAGGTGTGGTTGGAGTTCAGATAATGTAACATGACAGTCGTAAGAGAGTAGCTTTTGGTTTGGAGAGACAGTGAAGTCATCCAAAGGACACGTGAAAGAAATTTAAAAAAAAAAAAGAAAGAAAGAAATTTAAGAAAATGAAGACAGTCTGAATGGAAAGATTGAAAGAAAGAAGTTATTTTAGAAGGAAAATTAAAAATTGTTAAAAAAAAAGAAGGAAGGAATGAAAGCAATAAAGCGAGGATCGAAATGTAGGAAAATAAAGAAAGTGAGAAAGAAAGAATCTGAGAGAAGTTATAGAAAGGAAGAAGGAATATTGCAAAGAAAGAAAGACAGAAAAAAAGAAAGAAAGAAGGATTTGGAATATAGGAAAAGAAGGAAAGTGAGAAAGAAAAAGAAAGAAAAAAGAAAGAAATAATCTGATAGAGGGAAGAATGGAAGTAAAGAAGGAAAGAAGGAAAAATTGGAATGAAAACAACAAAGAAAAAAGAAAGAACGAATCCGAACAAAATGATAGCAGGGAAGAATGAATATCGCAAAGAAAGAAAGAAAGAAAGGGAGGAAGGATTCGAATGGAGGAAAAGAAAGAAAGTGAAAAAGGAAGGAAAGAAAAAAGAAGAAAAGAAAGAAGAAAGGAAGGAAGGAATGAAAAAGGAAAAATCAGAATGAAGCAAACTAAAGAAAGTAAGAAAGAAAGAATCTAAGAGAAGTGATAACTGGGAAGAATGAATATTGTAAAGAAAGAAAGTGACAAAAGAAGGAAGGAGGGAAGGAAGGAAGAAAAGAAAGGACAAAAGAAAAAATCGGAATCAAGGAAAAGAGAAAAAAAAGAATGAATCTGAACGACATGATAGCAAGGAAGAATGAATATTGCAAAGAAAGAAAGAAAGAAAGAAAGAACCAAACAACCAAAGGAGGGCAGAAAGGGATAAAATATCGAAACGGGATAATATCAAGGAAAAAGAAATATCAGAAAGACAGAAATATTGAATGAATTAAGAGAAAGAAAATGATTGAAAATGATAAAGAAAGGACCAATAAAGCAAAAAAGGCAGGAAGGAAGGAAGGAAGGAAGGAAGGAAGGAAGGAAGGAAGGAAGGAAGGAAGGATGGAAGGAAGGAAATATCGAAACGGGATAATATCAAGGAAGAAGAAATATCAGAAAGACAGAATTATTGAATGAATTAAGAGAAAGAAAATGATTGAAAATGATAAAGAAAGGACCAATAAAGCAAAAAAGGCAGGAAGGAAGGAAGGAAGGAAGGAAGGAAGGAAGGAAGGAAGGAAGGAAGGAAGGAAATATCGAAACGGGATAATATCAAGGAAGAAGAAATATCAGAAAGAGAGAAATATTGAATGAATTAAATTAATTGTGATATAGAAGAGAAAACAAGCAAATATGGCAAGATGGTAGATGGAAGAAAAAAGAAAAGAAGAGGAAAATAAAGATGGCGTCAATAAAGACACTTCCGAAAATGAAAAAGAAATCGCTTCTATGATGGGAAAGAAGCAATGAAAGAAAAGCAGAAAGTCAAGAATAAACGAAAGAAAGAAACAAACAAAAGAGAGGAAAGGAAGAAAATGTATAAAACAAGAAAAAGGTATGAAGCTGAAAAAAAAAGAAAGAAAGGAAGAAATACAATATTAATACTTATATATTATCCGTGAATTACATACACCTTTGTGCAAATTAATTGAAACAACAGCTTTATTTTCCATCCTTTAAAAATCCGGTGAGTTTTAGACACCCTAGAATGGCAGTTTGTAATCGATTTCTATTTTTTTTCTCAGATTAAGTCATTTGCAGTGGTGTGCAGTAATATGACCCTGTTTTCGGAGTTATGATGAAATTTGTTTAGCTTCGATAAAAATTGCATCATCCGTGATTGCATCAGATTTTTATCACGCCCAGACACTATTGTCTCGACTGTCGATTAATTGTCAAGCGGCCAGTGTATGCAAAAGACGTTACTATAAAGGAGAGTACGATAATTATAATACTGCATAAACACACTGACAAGCCTTATCCCTGAGCACATTAAAGTACTATAGACTGGACCGGAAACTCTCTGGATTTAAATCCAATTGAGAATTTGTGGTCAATCTTCAAGGAACGACTTCGTGGAATGGGCATACGAAATACTAACATAGGCACTGGGTCATGTTTCATTGGAAAAATACGTAAAAAAAGTAAATAATAACAGAATTATTTGTTTTGTTTCAATTAATTTACACAAGGATGAATGTACGTATGTCCTTTACGTAAATCAAATGCAAGACGGGCAGTTGCGTACTGGACATTTGCGTCTCAGATAATTGCGGATATATACGGAACCCTCGCAAAATGAGACCATCTGAACGGAATGGGTTATTCTAAGTGGGCCCCACCTGCAAGGTAATGCACTAATTTTATCAACGTTCTTCACCATATCCCTCACATTTGGTCATAATGCCTGTTATACATTTATCAAATTGGATGTTACGAGGTGTATCTTGAGATTCGTATATTTGCACAATGGCGTCATCTCGTTCGGGTAACGCTTTCTCATTTCGTATTAATAATAATTACGAAAGTAAGCATCACTGGGTGGGAACTTTTATCCATTAGGAACTGTGCAAGTGACTCCGTTTTGATCCCACACACCAAATGTATATGCACAGTGAAGCTGTCCTAGAAAAATGTGCCCGGACAGTTGCGTTCAGGACATTAGAGTCCCGGACAATTGCGTACCAAAAAATTTCGTCCCTGAATGTTTGCGTCCCTAGAAACCTCTGATAATTTTTTGGATGTTACCATTTTTTAAGAGTTGTTTAATATGGAAATTTGCGCACCAATAGCTTTAATTACTTTAAACAAGCAGAAAGGTAGATAAATAAAAAAGGAGAGAAATATTTCTGTGTTAAAACAAGAGAAAATTATGCTAGCAGTTTCAGTTCAATCCGGCAGTGAGTACCAAAATGAGATTCCAGGTTTTATAGACTATATTTTTATATGGAATCCATGGATAAGTTCCAAAAATTAAACTCTGGTGGAAAAATATTTGTGGATGAGGATATTTACAGCTACCATTATCATAAGAAAAACGACAATGAAACAAAAACATACTAGCGATGTGTAGAGTGATATTGCAACATTGTTAATCTGGCGTTGCATTTTAAACAAAAATAAACTTTTAAATTAATGGTCTAGGGAGGCAATTATCCAGGAACGCAAATGTCTTGGGGCGCATTTGTCTAGGGAGGCAATTATCCAGGAACGCATCCGTCTAGGGACGGAAATGTCTGGGGGCGCATTGGTCTAGGAAGGCAATTATCCAGGAACGCATTTCGTCTAGGGACGCAAATGTCTGGGGGCGCATTGGTCTAGGAAGGCAATTATCCGGGGGCGCATTAGTCTAGGGAGGCAATTAACCAAGAACGCATTCGTCTAGGGACGCAAATGTCTGGGGCGCATTGGTCTAAGGAGGCAATTATCCAGGGACGCATTTGTCTAGGGACGCAAATGTCTGGGGGCGCATTGGTCTAGGGAGGCAATTATCCAGGGACGCATTTGTCTAGGGACCCAAATGTCTGGGGCGCATTGGTCTAAGGAGGCAATTATCCAGGGACGCATTTGTCTAGGGACGCAAATGTCTGGGGCGCATTGGTCTAAGGAGGCAATTATCATGGGACGCATTTGTCTAGGGACGCAAATGTCTGGGGCGCATTGGTCTAAGGAGGCAATTATCATGGGACGCATTTGTCTAGGGACGCAAATGTCTGGGGGCGCATTGGTCTAAGGAGGTAATTATCCAGGGACGCAAATGTCTAGGGGTGCATTAGTCTAGGGACGCAATTATCACGGGACGTATTTGCCTAGGGACGCAAATGTCTAGGGGCGCATTAGTCTAGGGAGGCAATTATCAGGGGACGCATTTGCCTAGGGACGCAAATGTCTGGGGGCGCATTGGTCTAGCGAGGCAATTATCGAGGGACGCAAATGTCTTGGGGAGCAAATGTCTGGGGGCGCATTGGTCTAGGTAGGCAATTATCCAGGAACGCATTCGTCTAGGGAGGCAATTATCCAGGGACGCAATTGTCTAGGGGCGCATTGGTCTAGGGAGACAATTATCCTGGGACGCATTTGTCTAGGGACGCGAATGTCGAGGGACACAAATATCCAGTACACAATGTCTTGAACGAAATCAAATCTACTGGACCAATCTTTATCAAACTTTTACGAGTGGATAGTTCTAGGCATATATTAGGTTTTAAGCTATTAATATATGTGGATAGGGAACATAGTGCGCCCCTAGGAGCCAAAAACTTATTTAGCAAAAATTCCATTAGTAAAAGTAGTAGAGTATCCAAAAGCATAACCATTGCACATTTTCTTTTAAAAAGGAGCAATCATCATCATTATCATCATCCTTCGACATTCCCATGGTTGGTCTGAACTCCATTAAAAATCCCGATCCACACTGTTCGGTCCGGTATTACTGTCCCCAATGTCAAACTCGTATCCCGAGCTATGGTTCTGGGAAAGTCAATGTTCGCGAGAAGACACTTCCAGAAGGATGTCATAGGAGTAAGGATGGGACGATTTCCCTGTCCACTCGGTGGCAGTGGCCAGCATACGGTAATCGTTTTTGTTTGAGCTTAAGAGAGATTCTGTTAAGCGTTGGATGGGACCTCCAACTGATGTTTAGGAACCAAAATAAGGTCTGTAGAGATTTTCCAAGAGTAGCTTAGATGTGGCACAAGGCCGATAGTATGCGTTACCCAGTAAGGCGTAATTGTTCTTGCTAAACATTACACCAACTCGAGGTGCCCAAATGAGATCTGTATGTCGTAAAAATGTTTCAAATTGACTTATTTTGAACCATTTCATTGGTAAAATTAGTATAAATTAAAAACGCTTTTACGGTAGGGATATAAGGTGTTGTAATAGTCAACTTGAGTTACCACGTTCAAAGGTGCATTTGACAAGACCTCTATATTGCAAAATATTGTGCAATACTTTGACCATAATATATAAAAACTTGAGCATATTGTTGCCCTTGCATTAGTTATACTTCATACCTTGTTGGTGTTACCGAGGAATAAAGTGTCGCTGCCGACACTGGAGTTCGAACACAGATCACCATTTCTATTCTATCCTCTATTACTATACAGATCACTCATTCTACACTCTTTAAAAAAAACGTCCTAAAATATCGTTGCCCTGAAGCTTACGTAGAAGATCAATATGCGAAACCCTGTCAAATGCCTTTGAGATATCTAGAGCCTCAGATCGAGTTTCGCCATTATTATCAAGAACTTGATATACATATTCAGTGATGATCGTAAGCAAATCAACAGTAGATCTGGCAAAACGGAATCCATATTTTTTGTCAGAGAGTATGTCGCGAGAGGTAAGGTTCTTAACCAGTTCAGCATTGATTAAAGCCTCGAATACTTTGCCGAAATGCGGTAGGAGACTAATAGAGCGATAGTTGGAGTGGTCAGAAGATTACCAAAGTGTTTTAAAAACAGGGACAACAGAGGAAGACTTCCAACAAGTTGGAAGGCAATAGGTGTAGAATTTGGAGAGAATTGAGACCTTTAGGACGATGGCTGGTATCCTGGCATATCCACTTGACTTATAAGAAATAAGAAACAACCATCCTGAAATATCATCCATGAATAAATATATATATATATATATATATATATATATGGGGAAATAATGTTCGAGACCAACGACGGGTTATTGCGCATATCCCTCAGTATAAGCTCAGTTCTTGGAGGAAACCAGGTGTAGGTGCTCCAGCCTTGTGTTGAGTCGGAAGAGAACTCCCGAGCAAAGCATGGCACCTTATTTGCAGCAGACGTCAGGAATTTGAATTGATTGAATAAGGAGCGATTGAGGATTTGCAATAATCTCTGGAACCGAAATTGCGTGATACTAAATGTTGTTTCAATCTATCAGCAAACGGTAAATTCGCTTCATTGACGACACGCTTGCACTTGTTACGAACAGACATCTGTTGCAATCAGACGTGTCGCTCTGGTACAGACAGAAGAAATGATTCCAGTGGGCTATAGCACCGAGCATGCAGATATGAATTAAGGAGATGAACGCGGTTTAACTTGATATTTCCTTGCTGGAATAAAAGCATCGATGTCGGCTTTACACTGTATATATATATATATATATATATATATATATATATATATATATATATATATAGTTAAAGATAGAGATCCAGGCAAACCTACCAAACGGATCCGCTTAGGTGAAACCTTGGTAGGTTTGTCTGGCTCTCTAGGTCGAACTTGGTCTGCTCTACTTACCATATCGAGCACTTTATTTAGTTATTTTGCCTACTCGTATTGGGGTGTTTTTTCTTTGGACTTTGGACATGCATACTAGACGATTATTTTTGGCTAACGTACATGTTCTTAGTTCTTTCTTTTTTATACCTTTTTTTCCCTTTGGTATTGGGTTGATTATTTGCAAATCAAAACACTGAAGATTTTCCGAACGAGTATAATTTGTTATACAGGGTGACCCCAAAAAACGGGAACTTTTTAACAGTCCAATAAAACAAAGAGTGATGGAAGAAAAATATTTTAGTAATTGAAACCTTAAAACATGCCATTTAAGAAACAATGATGGAATTTTTATTTTTAAAAAATTACGTCCTGTAGGTGGCGTCCTCCTGTACGAATGCATTCTTGAAATCTGCTGTTGAGATTCCTCATTGACTGCTGTAAAATCTCAGCTGGGATACTGTGAATTTCATCTTGAATTCTAAATGGCGAAATGTTAACTTGTTCAAGGTCACTGTCTCGCAGTGTTGCCACTTCCTCATGTCTGGCAATACGCACTTCAACAATTCCTGTTTTTTGGGTCACCCTGTACTTATAAGATTACTATATATATATATATATATATATATATATATATATATATATATATATATATATATATATATATATATATATATATATATATATATTTATGTTTATACGTTCTATTTATAGATACAAATATTAAAGTAAATACTCCTGCTTATAAAAAACAGTATTAACTACATTTATCAGCCTGAATGTCCGAGAAATTTTCATAGAAAATATTCGTCCTCCGACAGGAATCGAACCTGTATCCTATACGGAACCGTCATATAGCCTGACGTACTTTTGCCGATTGAGCGACAGAGGAGCGTTTCGGTTAGCAAGGTCGATTTTACTGTTTTTAAACTACAATTCCCCATGATTTTCTCACGTATATTCATATCTGCTGGATGCGTATCCAAATGTAAACAAATGACGTCACACATTATGAAATTGACATAGTCCGACAATTATTTTAAGACATTTTTTTATGTTTATACGTTCTTTTTATAGATATAAACATAAGAAATGTCTTAAAATAATTGCTGGACTTTTTCCATTTCACACACACACACACACTTATATATATATATATATATATATATATACACGCATATATAGAAAAAAATCCGTGGTAAGTAATGTTGTTCATGATGACGGTCGTCTTCGAGTATAGAATCCAGAGGTTAGCAGTGAATATTTCGAAGACAGTAGGGAAGCGTTGTTCAGGTTAGCAGTGGATATTTTGGTAAAAGTAGCAGAGCGTAGTTCTTCCTTGTGTTCCTCTTCACCTGACAAGCTGGCACTAGACATTCGGATAGAGTAAACAAAATGGCCGCCTTTATACACGACGGATTGAATATTCTACGTCTTCTGATTGGTTAACCTTCTATTGATGGACTATAAAGTGAGTCAAGTTATTTGGATTGGCTCACTAGTTACATATATACACAAAAAAAACTGCAACAAGTAATGCAAGTAAATCTTAGTCATGTAAAATATTAAAACTGATCCACAGAAGGGAGCTCAGTATATTTATTATAGAGCATTAATGAATTATATGTAGATAAAATTCAATACGCCATATGTTTATGGCCATTTCGCTGAGAACAGGCCTTTTCAACATTAAGGAGTTAGATAAAAAAATGAATCATTATGATTCATTTTGATTCCTGTATATATATAGTCTGCGAGAAATAGTGAGAATTGAAAAATGATAGCAGGCATACAATTG